TATTGCTATTCACAACTCCTTTGTTAGCGACAGCATGGCCGCTTGCTACTTCCTGAACCGGCGGTAACCGGCGCGTCGGCCCACCGAGCTAGCGGGGTCTTATCGACGAAACAGAGTGATGACGTCTGTTTTCACAAAGCGCAAGAGTGGAAGAACAGTGTCGAAATGATTTCCTGAGGTTAATTTTGTTTCTACCAAAACGACAAAGAAGACGAAAACTGGCAGCCTTGCGCTGCCGTCCTTTTTTATTGATTATTTATTCGTTTGTGCGAGAATGAAGTACTCGCTTATCGGAAAGGAATGAAAGGATGAACATGCAGCAAAAGAGAACAAAACGCATTCTGAAATTGTCGACGTGAATAGATGCTACAAAAAGGAAAGTTAGTGGAAGTAGTATTGGGTCTAGCTTTTGAGTACTGCAGGCAGGAGGAAGGAGCGGCTCAATTCCTGCGCGTAGCAAAACGTTTGGAAGGTTGGCTTATTTGGTACACAGTGATATGGCCACCTCTCTGTGGGGGATAGGCAATTAATAGGGCTTTGTTAGAGTACACTTAGGAACAGAAAATTAAGTACGCTCACACGTACAAATAAAAAGTAAGTATGCTCTCACAGCAAAATTTTGTTTGAATAAAACATCTGTGTCTCGGGATTTACAGTAAACTTCAAAATTGTCCTCTTCCCCACTTTCGCATATTTTATTAATGTACATTTGTAATTTATCATTGGTTTTTGCTATCATGAGTGGAACTCGCTCCTCCTAACAAGTATACGAACTAACGCCTTTATGAGCGAAAATTAAACTTTGAGATTTGGTTCAGATGAACTCGAAACTAGCGTGGCCATGTGAGTATCCATCGAAAAATATTCCGTTAAAGTTAGAAGGCCTTCGTACATTTCTTCTTTTACAGCCCGCGATCATTACATCCTTAAATAAGGGTGACTTAGGAGGATAAGAAATAAACAAATAACGAAAGGAATGAGAGAGAGACCCACTATTCTTCATCGGAGCGTCGCAGTTTGCGTGGTCGTAAATCATAACTCTTTTTCTCGAGTAACCGCAATATCGATTAATGACATATAAACGACCTCCCCTGCATCGTTCTCCGATACTCGGCCACCTTTTCTTGCTCTTCATGCCTCAGCGACTCGCTGTCGCGCGGTTTGCTTAATTTTTTACTCCTTTTTGTTCACCCGTGTGAGTAGCGACGCTCCGTATTATGCATGCGTGCGCGTGCTCGTTCCTTGTTTTTCTGTTCTTTTTTGACGCAGAGATAAAGTTGCGACCAGAGAAGCCAAACAGTGTAGGAACGCAAGAGGCGGCCGTTTTTGTTGTGGGGTGCGTGAAGCGGGGCCTCTAGCAAGTGTCGTTGGCATGGCGACAGCACCGACGCTTGCTCCCGCAGGGCATTCGAACGCCAACAGAGAGACGGTTCGATTAAACGCCCCGTGCGCAAAACGACGAGGCACGCAACCGTCGAGCTTCTGCCATACTCTAGGTCTCTCGTCCTGGAGTGAAGAAGAAAACAAAAAAAAACATAAAGAAAGAAAAGGAACAGCCCTAAAAACAGGACCACAAACAGGGAGGCAGAGTAAGGACGAACGTATCCACGAAAGTGCGAGAGTGGAACCTTAGTGCCAAGGTATTGCGAGGTGGTCCCCTGTAGCACAGCTTAGTGTGCAGAAGCAGCAGCAGCAGCGGCCGTACTGAGCTGAGAGGATGAGGAGGGAGATGAACCCGTAACAAGTCACCGAGAGAAAGAAAAAAACAGAGGCTACGATCTCGACCCGGAACGCCCCTCGAACAATGGGCTTGTTTCGCGGAGCCGGGCACGCCCTTTAGTCTTTTGTTTCACTTTATTTTCCTGCTCCGTCCATTGTTCTACCGGAGGCAAGTGTGTACGCGTCAATAGAAGAGTCAGTTTGCCATTGCGTGACCGACACCGAGGAGGCGGCTTTCCCTCGCGCAGCGGAGCAAAACAACAGAGCACGCTTGCCGGTGGTGGCTCCTTTTTTTTTTTTTTTTTTTGCGTGTGTCAGTCGGTCTCCTGCGCACCTCTCCTAGGTGGGTTCGCCCTCGTTCGCGAGAAATCATCTAGAATGAAGACACCAGGGACTATCTTGCTCACTTTTAGCTCCCGAATGAATGAATCGAAAAGAAAAATGAACGCCGTGGCGGCGACGCACAGTCACTTTTGTCTCCTGGGACAAGGAAAGCCTCTTTGTTATCCGTGAATATTATTGAATTATAGAAAGCTATGTTAACGCTCACAAGCTTAATATGTTAAATAATTTGATAGTTCATAAAGTGTTTCTAGACAGCTATACTTTCTAGATATGTTGCTATCACTTTGTGTCGAGGTGCGAAGCGGCAGTGCCCTGTACTTGGGGACGCTGTAACATGGTGACAACCAAATAAAATATACGACGCGTAACTAGAGACTATCTTTCATGACGTAGTTTTTAATTTCTACCATTTCTTAATAGCTTGTTGTTTAAGCCAACCAAAATTTTTCTAATGCAAAAAAATAAAACTCTAAGCGCCGCAATCATGCCACCGCGCGCTGCCTAGTAACCGGTTGCACAGCTGTGCTACGGCTTCGCTAACTGACGTACTGCTCCACCACCATCCCACCTGCCTGAATACGGCGCGCAACCACTAAACGCACCAGACGTCATGTCGCAGCCAATTGCGCATGCGTTCCTGCGTTCTTTATAAAGCCGGCGCGTGGCGTTGGCGCACGGCGTTTGACACATACATAGTAATCCGAAGAAGGTTTGGACTGCCAACGAAGAAGCCTCTTACCGGGTATTGCGGTGCGCTGCCCAGTGAGACTGCTACACTCGACTCGTTCACGACGTAGTACGGTCAAAACGGAGTGAGGAGACATTGTTAGACTCGACTAGAAATTGGTATCACTTGGCATTAACTTGGCATCACTTCGCTTGGCCAGGATAAGCTAAAAACCGATCAGTTAGGTTGAGCCTCTAGCTTTGTGCCAGAAGTGCTAGCTATAGTATACGCTCGGCTTTTCTTTTTTCACTTAATGTTTTTTTCTGTAGCAAACAACTTTTTTTTTAACCTCTAGTGAACGCCAACTGGCGATGCTACTTGATTTGCCCGCATGGAAGGCACATCGTTAAAGGTTTCCCTATGAGCGGTCGACTATTTTGTTTCGCGCATTTTTTTCACAATTTTCTCATGTTACAGCCACACATACTAATGCTGGCGTACAGCCTCTATCGATAACAGCCTGTTGTTTCTGTTTACAGATTTATAACCAGAATTCTAATGACGCTGGCGACCTTTTCACATTTCACTCTGGTATTACTTTGCAGCCTGTCGCACGCCCGTAAAAAAAAAAAAGTTCTGAATGCTTAATGCAGAGTTGCAACAGCCAGGGTTACCCGACTCCGTTAGGCCACTGCAAGTTGGCAACGGCATGCATACGTCTTTCTATCTTTTCGACTCTTCTGGATGCTCACCACGTCGAAGGCAGATGCTTGTGGTGAAGCTATTCGGATATATTTGTATTTACATAGCCAATCGCTCTGAAAACTGGAGGTATTTAACGCTTTCGTATTCGATCAGAAGGTCGCGTGCTCCTTCTGGGGCGCAGACGTTTCCGCTGATGAACATGGTAGCCTGAAATATGACGGATGTTGCAGCAGAACTGAAGGTTGGGTGAGTTGTTTACTATTCATGGTGAAATTTCATCGCGCTCCAAAGACGAGGACACAGTGTATAGGGGACAAAAGAGGACTCGTTTGTTCCCTATACGGCGTTCGGGTCTTTTGTGCGCGCTCAAATTTCAACAAGACAGAAGTTCACAAGAAGGCGAAGGCTTGACATGGCTAATATTCGCACAATACAAGGGAATGCCGCTGTAGCCAACGTTCTAATAAGAAGAGTTGTCAGACGGGATCCCTTGTCGAAGCGGTGGCTTCAGCGACATCTATTGTTCAACCGCTGCTGATACCAACAATTGAGTGATGCGCGAGGAAAGAAAAGCCTTTGCTTTGAAGATAGAGAGAGATAAATGAAAGAGGAAGAAATGAAAAGGACGCTATTTTCTGCCTACCATCATGGGGACACGGCTCAGTGCCTTTAGGGATGGTGTATGGGAGAAGATGACATCATTGTGACTAAAAGCGACCTTAGGGAAGCCCCTGATCCAGATCGAGTGTAATCTGCGTCGAACCTAGAACCAGAATGGCCCTGATCGCGACGAGAGGTGCCCGTGTATTATCGACATAAGACGATCTTTAGTTCATTCGTCTGCTCTGTCATGCCCCCTACATTCAGCTTAATTTTATAATTTTGTTTCTTTTGTTCTTACTTGCTTCCTACGTGACTCTGGCGCACTTAGTCGCTGTTTCTGCGTTGTCATTTATGTACACAGAGTACCAGAAATGTGTTGAGTTTAACTTCATGTAGTGGCTTCTTGCATATTGTGCATAAGAAAATAGTAGAGCTAAATACTATAAGCGATAATAAAGTGAGAATGAAACTTTTTGTGATTTCAGCTAAGAGTCACGTGAACTTGCCTGAATATCACCGTCACATTGCTACTTGAGCGTTATGGAATAATCGTAAAGCGGAAGAATATGAATGGGAATTAGTACAGTAAAATACTTTATGAACTTGAAGCTCTAATCTTAGTTTGAGGCATCGCTTCTTTAGTGATGTGATTGTCTGGTGCAACAATCTTATTGAGAATTGACAGACGATCTCATTAATATTGTGTCTAACAAAAAAAAACAGCCCTTAAATGTCCACTTTTTTCTTTTGTGATGCAACGAGACACACGAACTGAAGCGTCAAATCACATTTCTGACGTACCTTGTCAAAGAATACCACTGTTACAAAACTGACGTTGTATTTAGTTGCCTTGAACACTCACATTTCTTATCTCTGCCGAGAGCTAGCGATCAGTTCAAAGCAGCGCGTCAGAAGGACACCTTATCTTTGTTTACAGGCAATGTAGACGTGAGACACGTACCCAGTGGTGACTCCACGTGTTAGTGATGAGCGCTGGCCCCAGTGAGCGCGCCGGGTTTAGTCCGGCGCCCGTGAAGCGGTACTGCATGATAGAAATAAAAAAAAATTAACACACACACGCACTAAACTTTTGGGAATTCTACCCAACGTCGCGCCAGAGTTAGTGCGTAAGCATCCCACCTCTACAATCGTATTCCAATGAAAATTAACTTTTATAGAGGTGCCATGCGTATGACGTAATTTACGTGCAAGCGTGAGAACATACTAATTACTCCTGAGTTCACTAATACGCGTTGGAACCTGAGCTAAAGTGTAGGAGTGATTCTGGCTGTTTTATAGGTAACTACTGTACAGAACAGCTTCACAAATACGAGTTACTTGTGATAAAGGAAAAAGAAAATACTCCGATAATAAGCACAAGTACGTCTTTCAACTTTCATTCACATCTGATTTGCATTGAACACTTAAGTCTACGCAAGTAAAACTTTATGTGTAACAAATCACCATCTATGAATTGCTCGATTTGAATAAACTGAAAGGCTTCCGGGAAAGTCCTCGCCTATGTTATTCATAGATATTGTTACGGAAAAGAAGAGACGCCGTAACGACGAGGCTGGGGATTAGATATATTCAAAACCAGCGGTAATGGCGTGCCCGGTTCACCAGCGAGTGAGCGGAGACAACTCTTCGTCTTCCTTCAGGCACACACGCGCGTCGCCCCCTAGAATATCAATATATATGCATGTAGCAGAACCCCCGGCGGCGCAAGCACCGTCTCGGCGCATGTAGATGTCAACGTCACTAGGAGAGTTGTAGGGCTTCAAGCGTGCAACATGTACAATATCGGTAGCCTGTTGGGAACATGAAGGCAATGGGGTGGCAGGACCAATTTCATATGTTACAGGCGTAACCACACGAAGGACTCGGTATGGGCCTGTGTAGCGAGTAAGCAGTTTTTCTGACAAGCCAACTTGACGTGTCGGAAACCAGAGCAGTACCAAAGAACCGGGCGGAAAGTGTACGTCACGGTGTCGTTGGTAATACAAGCGCCGTTGCTTCTCTTGAGAGGTCAGAAGGCGAGTACGGGTGATTTCGCGTACGTGAGCGGCTTGAGTGATAGCGTCCATGGCATATTCACTGGTCGGTACTCCAGGGGACGGTATGACGGTGTCTAGAGGCGATGTTGGTTCTCGGCCAAACAGCAGAAAAGATGGAGAGTAACCGGCAGTGTCATGGAGCGAAGAATTTTAGGCAAATGTGACGTACGGCAACGCAAGATCCCAGTCGGTGTGGTTAGTAGAAACATACTTAGCGAGCATGTCTGTAAGAGTTCGATTTAGGCGCTCCGTGAGTCCATTGGTTTGCGGGTGGTATGACGTATAGTCAGCTTGTGTCTCGTTTTACAGGACTGCAAGATCTCGGCTATGACCTTCGACAAAAAGGTGCGGCCAAGATCTGTAAGCAGCTGCCGTGGGGCTCCATGTTGCGAAATCGCGTCCTTGAGGAGGAAGTCGGCGCCATCTGTGGCGCAGCTTGTTGGGAGAGCTCGTGTGATGGCATAACGCGTGGCGTAGTCGGTGGCCACGGCTATCCGCTTGTTACCCGAGGAAGACAAGGGAAAAGGGCCAAGTAGGTCCAAGCCAACGTGGAAGAACGGTTCTGACAGAATATAAAGTGGTTGAAGGCGTCCGGCGGGAAGTGTCGATGGCGTTTTGCGGCGCTGACATTTCTCACAAGCCGCAACGTATCTTATGAATGAGCGTGCAAGCCCTGGCCAGTAGAAGCGTCGGCGCATTCGGTCGTAAGTGCGTGACACACCAAGGTGACCAGCAGTCGGAAGGTCATGAAGTTCATGTAGAACTTCTGAGCGAAGGTGTTTCGGAATGACAAGCAGCAGAGCCGGTCCATCCGGCTCAAAACTTTGGCGGTAAAATACACCATCGTGGAGCACGAATGAGCGATCGGACTGACTGGAAGATGGTGATTCGAGGCGCTCAATGATAGCACGCAAGCACGCATCATAGAGCTGCTCGTCACCGATGCATGTCATTTGCGAAAGGGAAAAGATGCAAGGCTTGGTGTCGGTGTCATGCATAGTGCTCGACTCAGCGACCGGGTAGCGCGACAGGCAGTCTGCGTCCTGATGTAGGCGTCCGGACTAGTAAGTCACCGTAAAGGTATACTCTTGGAGTCGCAGAGCCCAGCGCCCGAGCCGGCCAGTAGGATCCTTCAGTGACGTAAGCCAACATAGTGCATGATGGTCAGTTATCACAGAGAAATTAGTGCCATATAAATATGGGCGGAACATTGGGACTGCCCAAACAAGAGCAAGACATTCACGCTCCGTAATAGAATAGTTGCGCTCAGCAGCTGTGAGGAGGCGGCTAGCGTAGGCGACAACTCGGTCATGTCCCCGTTGGCGCTGGGCTAACACGGCTTCGATTCCGTGACCACTAGCATCGGTTCGAACTTCCGTCGGAGCGAATGGGTCAAAGTGAGCCAATATGGGTGGAGTCGTCAGTAGCGTGATTAGGTGAGAAAAAGCAGCAGCTTGGTCGGTACCCCACGTAAATGTGACGTCTTTCTTTAGAAGCTCTGTGAGGGGTCCAGCGATGGTTGCGAAATCTTTCACAAATCTTCTAAAATAGGAGCAAAGTCCTACAAAACTCCGGACGTCTTTGGCTGACTGAGGTACAGGAAAACTGGTGACTGCACGAATTTTCTCGGGGTCCGGCTGCACACCAGAGGCAAGGTGGCCCAACACTGTAATTTCCCGGCGTCCGAAGCGGCACTTTGACGAGTTCAATTGGAGGCCTGCAGTGCAGAATATGTCGAGAATAGCTGACAAACGCTGAAGGTGGGTCTCAAATGTTGGGGAATATACGACATCGTCAAGATAACAAAGACATGTTGACCATTTGAACCCTTGTAGCAGAGAGTCCATCATGCGCTCGAACGTGTCTGGGGCGTTGCATAGCCCAAATGGCATAACCTTGAACTGATATGGAGTTACAAATGCCGTCTTCTCTTGGTCTTTTCGTCGACAGCAATCTGCCAGTAGCAGGAACGTAGGTATATTGTGGAAAAGTATCGGGTGCCGTGGAGACAACCGAGAGCGTCATCGATGCGGGGTAAAGGGTAAACGTCCTTTTTCGTGATTCTATTCAGATGACGGTAATCCACGCAGAAGCTCCACGTGCCATCTTTCTTTTTAACGAGCACAACGGGGGACGCCCAAGGGCTCGAAGAGGGTTCAATAATTCCTTTGGCCAACATCTTGGTGACTTCTTGTTAAATTATTTTACGCTCGGTGGCAGACACCCGGTATGGTCGCCAATGAATGGGATGAGAATCACCTGTGTTAATGCGGTGCTTTACGAGTGAAGTCTGGCCGAGTGGACGGTGGTCGATGTCGAATATGTCGCGGTATGAAGCCAGAAGGCGGCATAGCGCGGTTGACTTCTCAGGTTTGAGGTCCGGGGCGATCATGGAGCGTAAGGTCGCATCGAGACACGTGGCATCCTGCGAGTGATGTGGGTGCTCGGGACATACGTCTGCCGTAAAACAGGTGACGTGGTCGTCAATTAAGGGCCTTAGTATGGCGACCGAAATTCTTTGGGGTAGCACTTGTTTTATGAAACCGAAATTGATAACAGGTAAATATGTTCGGTTAGAGGCCATGCTTACGACAGAGTGTGGGACAGTAATGTCACGCGCCAGGAGAACATCAGTAATCGGCGTCACGATATAATCACCGTCGAGCACCGGAGAGGGTGTTGCCAATTCGATGAATGTGAGAGCTTTAGGCGGTATTCGGAAGAAGTCAGTGGTGCACAAGCTGTTCGGGAGTTCAGGGTGAGAATCCGGGAGAAGAGGAAGTTCTAGGCAGAGAGTACCGCCGGCACAATCGATGAGGGCAGAATGCGTCGATAGGAAGTCCATGCCGAAGATTAGGTCGTGGGGGCAATTTTCAAGCACCGTAAATAAAACGGGAACATGGCGGCCGGCAATACTAACACGAGCGGCACACATTCCAGTGATGGCCACAGTTCCACCATCAGCGACACGGAGGGCTTTAGTTGCTGCAGGCGTGAGGACTTTTTGAGCAGGTGACACAGGTGAGCACTCATTATGGACACTTGAGCTCCGGTATCGACTAACGACGTCAAAGAAATACCGTCCACATACACCTCAATCAAGTTCGTATCAGTGGGGAGCGTCAATGGAGGATTTGGATCATTTGCAAGCGATGCAGCACTACCTCCCGGAGCTGCATGATCTAGTTTTCCGTCCGAGAGGATCCACAGTTGGCCGGCGACGGATAGCGGCGTGGTTGGGGCGATGGGGAACGGCGGCGTTGAGGTGGCAGCGAACGAGCAGTGGAGCGGCTGTTGGGGATGTCGGAAGAAGGGTACACACGACTGGGCGAATACCGAAGGGAGTCCTCGTATGGTCGATTAGAGGAAAATTGGCTCCAGTTTGAGGGCGTACAAGTGCTACGGCAGTAGCAGGAGATATGGCCAACTCGGTGGCAGCGGAAGCAGATCGGCTTGTCGTCTGCAGTTCTCCATTCCGCCGGATTGCGGGATCGCGGAATAAAGTGTAAGTCATGGCGTGGTGCATTTGTTGTCATTGGTCTGGAGACGGGTCGGGAGACAGAGCAGGCCACAGGAAAACCAAGCTTTGCAATTTCCTGCCTCATGACGGCTTGAATAACGGAGACCGGCGGAGGCGTTTGTGCGGTGCCATGGTCGAGCGGATGTGGAGGAAATGGTGCCGGACTTGACGCCTCAAGCTCCCGTCGAACTATTCGTGTCACGCTCTCCTGCATGGGCAGTGTGGCACCGAGATCGGTGCAAGTGGATGTAACAGCCGTGTTTGGTAGCCGCGTAAATTGAGGTATAACACGGCGGCTTTTGGCCATTTCGAAGCGACGGCATTCCTTGATAGTCATATCTACGGTCGTGACGTTATTGTAGACGAGTAAATTGAAGGCGTCGTCCACGATGCCCTTAAGTATGTGGCCCACCTTGTCGCTCTCTGTCATTTGCTCGTCGACTTTTCGCCACAACGCGAGCACAT